CTTCCCGCGGAGCAGGGAGCCCAATGCGGGGCTCCATCCCAGGGCCCTGGGATCATGACCTGAGCCGCAGGCAGACGCTTAACGACTGCGCCACCCAGGCGCCCCATGATTTCTGTAGTAACCTTACAGGTTAAGTCTATTATTGTCTCCCATTTTGCAGAGGAAGAAACTGAGGCAGACTGCAGTTAAGCAGCCAGCTCAAAGTCATGAACTGGCATGGCAGGAGTGGAGTTGGAACACCTCACAGCCCTCACTGGTCAGGGTAGAGATCCGAGGGGTGTTTGCTCATCTTGACCAGGGGTGGACATTTCTTCAGTGAGGAGGAGTCCTTGGCTGAGCGGGCCTGCTTGTTCCGGGATGGACTGGCCAGAGCCTGGGCAGTCTACACCGCTGCTGCCATCCTGAGCTGTTTACAGCTTCCTAGGACCAAAAAGTGTTGACTTTAGAAGGAGAATGTCTGGGTGTCTAGGTTTCACCACTGGTTCCATTGGCTCATCTGCCACAATGGATGGCACAGAAAGGTTTCTTGTTGGCCCCAGGTGACCTTCGCCCATAAAATTAGGACAAAAATGGTCAGAGAAGAAATTATGGAAAGGAAAATAATCTATGTTTTATGAACTTTATACCTTATCTTTTAGCAAGAAACCAAAACCACAACAAAAAAGGACTTACGATCCAGCAAGATAGCATACATTCAGATTGGGGTGAAAGAAAAGCAAGGGTAGGATCATGAAATAGAGACAGGGGTTAGACTATAAAGCACTTGGCTTTCAGCCCTTCTTGCAGCCAAACCAAAAAAGGAAACCTGTTCCTCTGTCCAAGGCTCCCTGCCTGAAGAGGCAGGGATTAGCCAGGGGGGTTGGGGTATAGGGAAGTGGAGGTGAGGCTCAGTTTGCCGGCTGCACCAGTGCCCTGAGAACATCTCACTGGAGAGGGAGCAGAGCGTTAGTCTTCGTCACAGTGCGTCGTCTAAGCTACATGATTTTCTCAGGGCTTTAGTGGATGTATATATAGTGAGACTTCTCATAAGAGCTGAAAACACATACCCATTTTTATTTGGCGTATCTAGGTTCCTTTATGCTGTGAGCCTATGATCCTTTTGCCGTAAGTCAGGACCGTTAATTTCAGCACCTGTTTAGCAAGCATCTCACTGTGCTGTGTGTGGGACTAGAAACAGCTCAGTGCCGTGTTCCCTGTGGAATAATGGTTAAATGACCATGTACTTTGGTTTCAGACCTCATTGAGATTTGCTTGTGTGGACGATCTTCTTGCATGATAAAAATAAAAATATCGTGTCTTTTACAGACATACAGACGTATAACCTTGTAGTTTATTAACATTATTATGTACCTAATTTGCATGTTTAAAACATTCCCACAAAGGAAATCACAGGTCTTGTTTCGTGCTTCATACTGGGAACACTGAGAGCCAGGAGTGAGAAGACGACACTGGAGGCTTTTTAGTCTTTGATCACTGAGCAGTGCTCCGAGAGGGACTTATTTTGGTGGTTTGGTTTTGTTGTATTACATGGGCCATGTTGTAACATTTGAGGTGGTAGAAGAGTTGAGAACACGAATCTTGCAGTGAATCTCCGAGGTCCCTCCTCATGTTGAATGTCTACCTTGAGCTAAGCATAGTCATCTCCGTTCTGTGGCTTCACCTGTGAGATGTTACGAGGAGAGGACAGGGGAATCCCGTGGGAATAGTTGGCCAAACATCCCTTTCATGGGAGCCAGTCGCCCCCTGCTCTCTGAAGAGCAGAAGGATCAGAAATAACAGGCCCAAAGGCCCAAGGCATTGGCAGGCCTGGGAATGAACCTGGACCCCAGACTCCTTCCCAGTCCAGCACCCTTCCCTTGAACGGTCTTGCCTACTCCCCAGCATGGAGATCCGTCACGCTCAGGCTCCTGCCTCCAGGAAGGGCGCTTAGCTGTCTTGGGCCTGCCTCTGGGGCCATCATCAGGTGGAAACCGTGACTGTACAAATGGCTCTGTGGATACGGAGTTTGTAGCAACCACGTGTTACATGCTTCTGGGTAAAAAGCCTGCAGGGTATACGTCGGAGCCAAGGCCTGTTCCTCTGCCCCTGTCCCCTCAAGAGACAGGGGGACAAGCCTGTACTTGCTCTGCCGGCCCCTCCCGCTCCTCTCTCTCCTGAACCTACTCCTCTTCCCCCCCCCCCCCCCCCCCGCTCTGCTTGCTGCTTCTTACCGCGGCTACCAGGGGCCTCCCTGCCAGATTCAGTGGTATCTCCACCCTCATCTTCCTTGGGCTGGGATCAGCACGTGGCACAGGTGCTCTCTCCCTCCTGTTCCGCGCACCTTCTTCTGGGCCCACCCTCTCTTGGTTCTCCTCCTTCACCTACCACTGGGCCTCCTTGCCAGTCCCTTCTTGTCCTGATTTTAGAACATTGTCCCAGGACTCCGTCCTCAGGTCTCTGCTCACTTCCCTAGATGATCTTTCTAGTCCCAAGGATTGAAAGATGATGAGCTCCCCCGGCCATTATGTGTCCTGCTTTGTATTTGACCCTGTTCTACCTCCCCACTGAATATATACTAAAGAAACTCAGGGAATTTTTCACCCCAAAATCTGTGCCTCTAGCAGCTCCCCCCGCCACCATCAGTCGCTGGCTTCTTCATTTTTCCAGTTGTTTTGGATAGAGATTTTCTTTCACTGCTGTGTATGTTCTGCTTCTCTTCTTCTGCTTCCCAAATCTCTGGGTTTCTCTCCTGTGTTTCTTGTTGACCCACAGGCCTAGGTTTTGTCTGGTCTTGCTTCTGTCTGCTCCCTGCTGATCCACTTGCCCCTTTCTCCCCCGCTATGTGTTTTCTATTACCTTCTGAGCTCCGGTGTTTACGGTCTTGCTCTGATATTCTGCTTTCAGCCCCATGTCATGGCTCTGTATTTCCCTTTGATGGAATCTCTCTAGGCTTGGCTAGAGGGACCATTAATTTGCTCTGCGGAAAGTCCAATTATTAGCCTGGGAAGGGCAGCCTTCATGCAGGGACACTTAAAATCCTTCCTATTCCCAGGGAATGGAAGAGATTAACCATCCCATCCTCTCTGGTGCATTCCATAAATGGCACCCGTGACAGAGTTCCATGGTCTTTACCACTGACTGTTACCCCCAGTCATGCTCCTGAATCTCCGTGGTTCAGGAAACCTCACAACTGTCACCAACCCCAGGGTGATAGACTATTCCATGCAATGATCTCTACATTACAGTAAATTTGTCAGTTGATGTCTAGAGTTTAAGTTTTTCCCAAATGGGGGAGTTGGTTGTTTATATATGCCTATAAAAACAGAGTTGGGTAGACCCTTTCATCTATCACCTTAAAAGTCCTTGATATTGTAGGTGGAAAACCCCTGGATATTTTGTACCCTTCTGCCATGTCAGCAGTCCAGCCACTGCTGAGGCTGTAGTAAATTGATTCGATTTGGGGAAGATTCCCAGTGAACACTGCTGTTATTTATTGAGAACTGTTATCTTGACATTTTTCAAGAAACATTTTCACAGGCAGTTCATTCAGAATGTAAGTAGAGGTCAAAATGACTTTATAGTTGGACAGCCTAAATGTTGGCTCCATGCATCTGTGTGTATATACTGCCCATGGACTCCAGAACATCTGTTTAAAAAAGTCCTCTGTATGCAGTTGACCCAGTCACCTGTTGTTAAGAAGCTGGCAATCAATCAAGCATGCGAAGAAGTGATGCCCCAGAGGCACCCACTCCCTGGGCCTGGTTAGCCTGTGGCCCTCTCTGCCTCTTGATTACCTCATTGCTTCTTAGCATTTGCATTCTTAAGTGGGAGGGGGGCGTCAAGGCAGCTGGGGTTCAGGTTCACTACCTGTAGGCTCTCTAAGAAAAGATAAGAAAGGATGAGAACTTATTAAAGAGGGCACGTTCTGCGTGGAGCACTGGGTGTTATGCGCAAACAATGAATCATGGCACACTACATCAAGAACTAATGATGTAATGTATGGTGATTAACATAACAATAAAAATTATTTAAAAAAAATAAAAGAAAGGATGAGAACTTGAAATTCCTGTGGTTTCTGTTATTGATACAGTGCTGGGATTCTAATAGCTCCTAACTCCGAAGTGCATTGTTCTGTTTGCCAGGAAGACAGTCAGCTGGGTTTGTGTCAGGTGCAGGGGAGAATCCTCTCTCTTGTGCCTGAGGAAGATGCATTGGATTGAGGCTGGCTTGGGTTGAGGGCTAAGTTTCTGGCCACAGAAGAGAGCGGGTCGTCAAAATAAGCCATAAGCCACCAACTCAAAGGAAATGGACTAAATTTTTGGACTTAGGTTTTAAAAAGAAGTCATTTATGAAATAAAACCTAGCCTAAACCTGTATACTTTCTAAAACTGGGCATTGGGATCCCATTGATAACCCCTCAGGGTTTGGTTCTTTTATGAATTATACAGGGCTATTACCATTGTGGCTGCTTGTGGGGAAACTGAAGCAGAGCAGCCAGAGGGCCTTGCTTGGATTTACACAGGATCCTCGTGTTGGACTTGGGCCCAGATGCTGTCTTCTGGTACGTGATGAGGTGGAACTCTTTGGCCCTGAGGAGCATCTGAGAGGGCATTCATGCTTCTTCCTGTCCCCAGGAGCTGTGGGGAGAGAGCTGGGGCACTGAGGCTGCTAACGGAAGCGTCTTCAGGAGGTAGCTGTGGTGCCCAAGGCTCTCTGCCTCTCACACTGATGATCCCATGTTAGAAACCCAAAGTAGGGAGCACCATTGAGAAGGAGTCTTGGTGAACTTCCATAGATCCTTCTTCCCTAGAGAGTCTACTTGCCACTTTGTGATAATGTTAACCCTGAGTCTAGATGCTCTTGTTTTATTTAAAAATTTTTAAAATCTTTTAATTTGTGTTTTTACCCAAAGTATTCACTTTAATTGCTATTTTATTTCAGTTATTTAAAGCTGATTTAGAGTCTAGCAGTTTTTTCAAGACTATTATGAATATCACCATTTGTCTCTTTGTGTTTTCCAGACATTCTAAGTAAGGATCTTCAAATCATTTAGGAAAATGGTGGCCCTGTCCTTAAAGATTTGTGTCCGCCACTGCAATGTGGTGAAGACCATGCAGTTTGAACCATCTACAGCCGTGTACGATGCATGTCGAGTCATTAGGGAACGGGTACCGGAGGCACAAACTGGCCAAGGTAGGCCATTGGTTATTCACTGGCTTCTTGAAACGTGTTTGTATGTTCTTAGTAGCTAAAGAAACAGACGGTCTGAGTGGTACCCAAGTGCACTAGTGTTGTGTATGTTTCCCAAATGAAATGTCTTCTTATCCTGGACACTACTTACCTCCGGAGTGAGGCTTGTGTTGACAATGGCCACAGCTGCCACTGGGTCATCACTGTGATGCCCATTGTCATGACCCTTCCATACCTCAGCATTGCTCTCTACAGTTTACAGGTCACTTTTTGATATGTCATCTCATTTGCCCTATAAGGTACAAATGAAGCTACTCCAACAGTTACGCATTTGTACACACTGAGCCCTGTTTTCCATACATGCAGCCTGAAGCAGGTTGGAACTGCCATCAGGATGCAGGGCAAGCCTTATATTTCAGTTACTTTGAAGGGGCTTTATAAACTTGATCACACTCTTATGGGGGTGGGGAGCATCTATGAATCTATGTTTTGTTTCCTGTTTGTTTAAACCACTGACCACGATGAATCTGAGTTTAAACAAAAGCCATTCATAGAATTTTTATTTTCAATTGCCCTTTCTCCTCTCTCTACATTTCCTTCCTTTATTTAGTGTTTGATTGGCACTTGAGAAATTGGGATTTACTCCCAAATTAATAAGCCTTTACTGTGAAAATGGGCTGAAACTTAACTTAAAAATGGGAGTATGAGACTCTTAGAGATAGGCATTGATCTTCTCAAAAAGATGTCACAAAACTGCCAAACTTTTGGTCTAAAAGCATTATTTATATTATTTTAAACACTTTTTTTATTTTTGGGTAATGTAGAATAACAAAGTTATCCCACATTCCCACCCTTGCTCTAAATTCTGGTTATCCAGTCATTTCTGGTGTCTTCTCTGCTACTGTTTTTCTCCCAGATTTAAAAAAATTTCTCTGGGCTAGATTGCTGTTTGGCTCTGGTGAAAATCAAAACCTTTTTAGATCTTGAAGTTGTTTTTCTAAGAAACAACAGGAGCTCAGACCCTCACCTGGGTCTCTGAGGTTACCTTGAATCACATTCAGGAAGACAGAAGTCTTTAATTGTATTTATTTATTTATAATCTTTAAAAATGTATTTATTTAAGTAATCTCTGCACCCAACATGGGGCTAGAACTCATGACTCCGAGATCAAGGGTCTCATGCTCTATTGACTAAGCCAGCCGGATGCCCCAAGATAGAAATCTTTAGACAGGAAATGATACAGCTTTTCTCCTGCCACCATGCTCTTGTACTTCCTGATCAGACTAAGGGATTTCTATGGAGAACATAGAGTTTTATTTTCCAATTATATTCATAATTTAGTGGGGTGGGGGAGAGTGGCTTCATCTCCCTGGGCCCTCCTGCTTGCCTTTTGTAATGCTGTTTTGGGATGATGGAAGGATTATTCAATGTGTAAAGGCTCCACTGGCCCCCCTTTGCCTAAGTGGCCTTGGGCTTAAGGGTCACTTCCTTAGTTTCTCCATGGCTCCTCTTGTCCTTCTTCACGGCTTCTCTGCCAGGTTTTTATATAGCAAGTGTTAGGAAACAAAGCCCAATTCTTTGGGCTGTTCTGTTCTTGGTGTTTCCCTAACGTGTAGACACAGCTGCTGCCCACTGGTTTTAAGAATCACGAACCTTCTCTGTGGGTGTTGACGTTGCAGCTCAGGCCTCATTTCACCTCTTCTGCTTTACCCCTTGGCTTGCTTGTGTTGTCAAAACGAAACCTGTCTGATGCAGGAGAATGCCCACATCCGGCCAAGTCAGCAGACTCAGGGCTTGGAAGTCAGTGATGGCTTCAGCGGCACTCTGTCTTTTATCCTCTCTTCTCTTTATCTCCCAGCTTCTGATTATGGGCTATTTCTCTCGGATGAAGACCCCAGGAAAGGAATTTGGCTGGAAGCAGGCAGAACACTGGATTACTACATGTTGCGAAATGGGGTATGTTGTAGATGTCATTTTTGTTGTTTTTGTTTTTGTTTTGTTTTGTCACCTTGTCTGTGGGCCTTCTCTAGAAACCAACATCCTATTATGCCTTAGAGAAAAAGGGAGACCCAACAATCTGTTTTGCTCCAAGGGCATCTTATTCCTAGTTTTGACTTTGTAAGGGCTGTCCAGGTAGTAAGAGGAAATATCGGCAGTCCAAATTCTTGCAACTCCACAGAGTAATTAAAGCAGCTTGGGATTAGTGTGTTCAGCTCTTTGCACATGCCATGGTTGCACTTGGTAGCTGGGAAATAAGATAGAGCGTCTTTCTGTAAGGATATAGGAAGTATCCTGGTGACTAATGATAAAAAGTAAGGGTAGATTAGAGGGGAAAACAAGAAGATCTTAAAAGTAGTCAGCGATTGAATATAAATCAGTTTTGTTTTTGTAAAGGGAAGTCCATATGAGATGCAAGCTTGATAACAATCAGCGACAACAAAAAATGATTGTGTTTGGAATTAGAGGTAATGAGTAAAACAGTGTTAAATATTGTCTTCAGCTTAACCTTGAAGATAACTGGGTTTTAGTATATGGAATGCACATACCTGATTGGTCAGTATTCCATAAAGTGAGAGTGAATTATGTAGTACCAATTAATTTTCCATTCATAATTCTGTTGTTAAATGTAGTTTAAAAAAAAAAAGTCTATTTAAAAGTAACTTCCAAACCTACTACCCCTGTTTCATCTTGCCATTACTGAAAAAACGACTTTTGTGGCATACCACCACTATAAAGAGCTATGGGGGTATTATTTATTCCTTCGTGAAGTCTATATTAAAAATTGCTTGCAACCATAAGATAATTGGAGAAGCACACTACTGTCTTTTTCAATGGTAAGTAGGATTTTTCCTCTGCTAGATCTCATCAAAGCAGATCATCCACAGACTTTCAGGAAGGCATAAGCTACTTTAAGTTTACAGAGGTTAGTTTTCAAGAATTGTAAGCTATAAACAGTACTTGTTCGGGGGCAATTTCACCATCAGATTTTAAGAAAGCTTGTTGGAAGCAGTTACTTAGCACTGGGGTTTCTGTTTTAGTGGCAAAAATCTCATGAAAACTTGGAAGGAGGAAATCAGAGTGTGCTAGGGAAAATTCATTTTTTTTAAAGAAAAGTGTCCAAGTTGATTACCTGGTTTATCAAGTCGTATGAAAATTTTGTGGGATTTTGCTATAGGATATTTTGGAATACAAGAAGAAACAGAGACCTCAGAAAATCCGGATGCTGGATGGATCCGTGAAAACAGTGATGGTGGATGACTCCAAGACCGTTGGGGAACTCCTGGTTACTATTTGCAGCAGGATAGGTGAGCATTCCCATGCCGAGGTTCCAGTTTTTGTTTTGTTGTTAATTACGCACCTGTTGTTTCACCCCCATTTGGTGACTTGCCAATCCTGAATGTGTCCTAGCCACTGATTTCTGTCCAATCCTAAGACGGTGCTGCTATTCCCCAGATAATGCAAACCTGCTAACTGGTATTGTAAACACTTGAATGTCTCACTGAGTCGAAATTGAGAGATTTTCTCTTTCAAAAGCCAAAGGAATTTTTTTTTAAAGATTTTATTTACATATTTACTTCAGAGAGAGAGAGCACACCTGCGTGGGCACGTGAGAGTGAGCATGAGCGGGGGAGGGGCAGAGGGAAAGAGAGAATCTCAAGCGGACTCCCCACTGAGTGCAGAGCTTGATGGAGGGCTGGCTCTCAGGCCCCTGAGAGTGTGACCTGAGCCAAATTGAAGAGTGGGACGCTTAGCCAACTGAGCCACCTGGGCGCCCCCAAAAGGAATTTTTTAATTGAAAATATGTTTGGAATCCTATAATTCAGTTTCTTGTCCATGACTGAGATTGTGTATAAGCATCAGTGACATCCTATATTTCCCTGAAGACTGATAGGGGCAGCCTGTACAATTGATTGCTATACAGCTTTTCTTCTTGTAGCTTCTAGTCATCTCCTTTCTGCCTGAAACCCTTCAAATATTTGGAAAAAGTGTCCTGGCCTCACTTAGTCTTCTCTCCACACAAAGGAAGACCAGTTGCTTCAGCCACTTCTCGTTTGACCCTGTCTTGCCTTGGTCTACATGATCTCTACTCTGTGCTTGTTTCTTGAAAATTAGGAGAATTGAATGTGACATTTTAAACATGGCTTAATTAGCTGAGAAACCTTGTTTTTGGCCAGAGTTATTTGATGTGTGCCCCTGGGTGGCCCCCTGACCCTCACCTTTGTAAAGCCTCTTTCTGTTCTGTGCTACTGGCGACTCCTCGGAGTATCACAGGCCCCCGGCTGGAAGGAGTGACAGCAGTGTCATCACTGGTAATTATAACCTAATTTATATTTTTAGGAATAACAAACTATGAAGAGTACTCTTTAATCCAAGAAACGATTGAAGAAAAGAAAGAGGAAGGGACAGGGACACTAAAAAAAGACAGGACTCTATTGCGAGACGAGAGGAAGATGGAGAAGCTGAAGGCCAAGCTTCACACGGATGATGACTGTGAGTGCCAGAAGGGAGCTTGGGGGGCGCCGGGGGGGCTCAGTCGTTAAGCGTCTGCCTTCGGCTCAGGTCCTGGTCCCCGGGTCCTGGGATCGAGCCCCGCATCGGGCTCTCTGCTCGGCGGGGGGCCTGCTTCTCCCTCTCCCACTCCCCCTGCTTGTGTTCCCTCTCTTGCTGTGTCTCTCTCTTTCAAATAAATAAATAAAATCTTAAAAAAAAAAAAAAAGGAGCTTGGGCCAGGTGCAGGTGTGGCCAGGCCTCATTCCCCTCCCTTCACGTACTTGACCCTGGGCAGGAGTTTTCTGTTGGCTGTTGGTCTGTGGCACTAAACGACTTCTAAGGGAAAAAACAGACTATAGTCCTATTTCCCACCTAAAAAAAGTAATCTCTTAATGTCAAATATATAAATTACGTTCACACTGTCTTCTAAAAAAGCTAATAATTGGTTTAAACTGGGGCCAAATAAGGTTGGATGAAGTGACGCTTACCTGCTTTTGTCTCACACTTCCCCTCCATCTCTCTTTTTTTTCCCCCTCTCGGAATTTCTGGGAAGAAGGAAGCAGATTGTTATTTGTATGGGGTTTTCTACAGTCTGGATTTTGTTGACTGTGGTGTCACTCTAGCACGTACTTCTGTCTCTTAATTCCTGACATCTGGAAACGTGATCAGATTCATGTGTATGTGTCTATTCTTCAAGTAAAGACTCCTTATGTGGCGTTGTGTACTTCCGTCAGAACGTTGTGTTTGGTTGTCTCCTTTTTTGTGATGTTAACAGCCATTGATGACCATTGCCTAGATCCGTTATTTCCTTAGAGGTTACAAAATGCTGATTATAGGAAAGTCCTCTTCTGTGACCACACAGTTAATATTTGGAAAAGCCCTTATCTACACCCACGTTTTCCAAAGTATGCTATGTGCATCTGGTTGCCCAGCATCCCCCACCCCATCGAGGATCTGACTTCATGCACAGTTATATAGACCTTCCCAGGCTCTTTCTTTCATTGTTCTTGCTGCTGCATTGGGAAGATGTTATCATGGTCATTATGTTTATTGATCTTCAGTGAAGCTTTCATTTCCTGTGACCCTTTCTTCCTTCTTGTTTTTTTCTTTCTGCCTCATCTGATTTCCAGTTACATACTTCTTTCCAAGTGAGACGGTGGTAGACAAATCCCAAGGATTTTTGTAAGGTGCATGATACTCTCCCAGGTACCATGGGAGATGAGATCACTCCCACACGCTGCCTGTGCTGAAGTTGCTTAGAACCCAGTGAGGCTTGTAATACTTACTTACTCACAATGTGTGTGTTAAGCCCAGGGAGGAGTATGGGAATGAGAGCTGTGGAAAGTGTAGAGCGGTGCTCCATTCCTGTGCGCCCAGGTAACAGGTGCGTGTTTTCTGAGTGAGATCCAAGCTGGACCCTGGGCAGGGTTCTACCATCCCTGATCCCTTGGTGTTCTGTCCTGCTTCCCACCCACCCCTCATCCCGACTGCCCCCCCCCCCCGCCAATTACTTCTCTTTTCTTCTTTTTGTGCTTACAGGTAGAGGTAACTCATGATAATCAGTTATAAATTCTTTCATGCAATGAGACTGAAGTATCCACTGTTGACTTAAAGGAAAATGCTCACGTGGTTGTCTTGGCATAGATCATTGATTTTTTTCTTTCCCACCGTGTTAAAAATTGATTGTGGGGCCTTAACAAACTTTAGGAATGGCTGAGAATTTTCTCTCAGGTGTTTTTTGGTGGGTCATATGGCACACGATGGTATATGTGGAATAATTTTGCAAAGTTAAAAAGCATAGTTTTAATATAAGTAACTAACTGAATATCAGCATTCCAGAAACGCCCTTCTCTCTTGATAAATCTCTTCAAACCAAGAGGAAGAATACATACAGCTCTTTCATCTGTCTTGTTGTGTTGCAGTAAATTGGCTGGATCACAGCCGAACATTCAGAGAACAAGGAGTAGATGAACACGAGACATTGCTACTTAGACGGAAGTTTTTCTACTCTGATCAGAATGTGGACTCAAGAGACCCCGTGCAGCTGAATTTACTTTATGTTCAGGTACAGCATTTAGTGCTCCCTGAGGGTGGTGAGAAGTCAGGAAGTTCCTGGCCGTGGCTTGTGAGCCGGAGCTCAGCTCAGGCTTCCACGGGGTTTTTGACACACAGTTTCCAGGGGGCACTGTTGCGGGATTCCTCACATGCTTGGTTGTGGTACGGACTGATGTTCCACAAAGAAAGGAGGGCCTTTCTGTGGCCTCCCAGATTGAGACCTGGTGGTCGGTACTGTATCTCTGCCTGACTTGGAGGCACTGAACGGGCTAACCACTGCACTAAAGCTCTCTTCGCTGGTGTCTCAGGATACAAGTGAATACTGGTCAGAAAATCCATATTTCTCATTACCTGAAAGATAGTCTCCTCATAACCTTTTATGTCTTCACCATTAACCTAGTGTTGAAGCTCAGACAAGTCATTTCACTTCTCAGAGTTTGCAGTTTCCCGATATGTAAGGTGTTGGCTTCGTGCCAGAGGGTCCGCAGTCTTTTTTTCGGCTCAAGGAAATCCTGATCTTCTTTCATCCTTTCCTTCCCTCCCTCCCTTTCCTCTCCTTCTGTTTACCTACTTATCTGCCCTTGGAAATAATGCGGGGGTCAGCAAAATGCTGCCCTGGCATCCCCTGTGTTTGTAAATAAGGTTTTATTAGAACACAGCTCATTCGTTTGCATGAATGAAAGGGTTTGTTGGGTAAACCCTTTCCACATCATGTAACTGTTTACTTATTGTCCGTGGCTTTTCTCCCCGTTTCAGTGGCAGAGTTCAGTAGTTGTGACAGAGCCAGCATGACCCACAAGGTCCAATATGTTTACCCTCTGGCCTTTGACAGGAAATGTTTGCTAACCCCTGAGTTAGTAGGTACAAGAATGGCATGGAAGGAGGAGGGCCCGGAGGCAGAAGGAAGATAGCCAGGCACCAAGAAAATGCTTGTTGGTTTAAGGCTCAGAGCCATCGCTTAGCTTATCTGCCCGGAGAGTGGTCTGGGGCTCATTGAACTGGAGAAAGAAAAGACAGAAGAATAGATAGCAACAGAAGTGGTGGATCAGGAACTGGGAGAAGGACTTTAGACACCGGGCATTCCTCATTTGAGCATTGTGCATTTTGCTTATTTCCCTTACATGGCTGTGGTATTGAGTTACTGTCTGTCCATCTCTCTCCCCATGCCACCACCTTACATTACATTGGCCTTTATCTTGGGATGAGGATTGGGTTGATTTTACCTCTAGGTAATTTTTCTGTTAGCTTTAATGATTTAGGGACATAAGGAGCATATTGTGAATCACAAGGATTTCTCTTTGCCTCTTTATTTTTCATGATCACTTCTACCTTCCTAGATACTGAAGCTTTAGTTTTAATATTCTGGATACTGCTGATGTTTTCTATCTATAGGCAGTTTGGGGGAAGGACTTGTTTTCCTTCTGCCTTAATCCTCCTGTGCTACAGTCACCTGCAGTGTCCTGAGTGTGTCCCTGTTGGCTGGCACTTTCCCTCTGCCCCACAGAGAGGGTGCATTCAGATGCAGGAACATGTCCCTGGAGAGTATGCGTGGTTCCCCCAAGCTCCTGATGCTTTTCACTGCCTCTTGTGTTTCAGGCTCGGGATGATATCCTGAATGGCTCCCATCCTGTCTCCTTTGAAAAAGCTTGTGAGTTTGGAGGATTTCAAGCCCAGATACAATTTGGACCTCATGTGGAACATAAACACAAACCGGGATTCTTAGAGTAAGTAATCGTTTGGGTTTTTTTCCTCTTCTCGCCTCTTCTTTTCACTATTTATTTTTGAGCCAGCTACATAAAATACATACCCTATTTGTAATCACTTGTGAGGTTGTTAGCTCTGCCTCAGTTGAGTATATGACCAAATTTGTGCACCTTGGAGAAAGCAAAAAGGCCTAGAAATTCAACATTGGAATGACTGTGATGGTTAGTGCTCCAAGTTCTGGCAGAGGGTGATTCCATGGAGACCACAGAATTTGTAGCACCCTGCCAAGACATTGTCTATAGTCTGTCCTGGGATATCTTTGGGTTTGATGAACCCAGGACCTCCATCTTCTGAAATCTCTTCCCATTAGAACCTTCCTTCTTCACATTAGGCCAGATTTTGTCATCTTTAATTTCTTTTCAAGACTCTCCTTTTTAGAACAAGAGAGCGTAAAAGAACTTCACGTTCTTTATTACAATCTTAGGAATTCTTCATTGCTCTGAAAGGGTGGGGTACACATTACATACTTCGCTTTTGCATACATCTGGTCTTTGGTTCTCTTGCAGAAAATGATGGGGTGTTTTGGGGGAGAGCTCAGTTCCTGGAGATTTAAGAGAAAGCAACCCTACAGATATATCATGGCCTCACAGAATGTAGGCCTTAGGGCTGGATTTCCTAGAAATACACAGCAGGACAGGCCCAGCCACACATAGGCTGCTTTTGTTTGAAGTGATCTTGCCCTTTGTTTTGATCAGCTTCTCCAAGAGTTTTGTCTCTTTCTTCCTCTGGTAACATTCCTTTACCTGTTTCTCCCCCCATACTTTTCTCTCTCCTGCTTCCTCTTCGGGCAGATGAAACATTTGGATGAGCCCCCTCCAACACCGCCCCCCCCAGCAAATATACAGAGTGTCTTGACGTGATCAATAGCCCGCTGTGACCTAGAGTGTAACTTGTAGAAGCTTTGGTGGTGGGACCTGAGCTGAATGCCAGCTGGGGGCAGACGTCCCTTTTCTGGAGGATATGCCAACCTGAAACGTGTTGAGTAGGGCATCACTTGCATTATGTCCAAGTATATTGAGGGACGAGGGTAACATAAGTGTTTACTTGGCCCTTGACCCCACTTTCACTTTGGTGGAAAGTAATTGGGATCAGCATAGGCCCTAGAGTAACAAGAAAATCTAACTTCTTCCCCGGCAGCAAATGTGCTTGGCCAACATGGTGATGGTTCTAAACTGAGTTGTTACCAAAAAACCCTCTACCCTTGGGTTTAATGAATCCGAAGGAGCCTTTCCAAAGTGACGCTTTGGCCTACAATATACTGCGCAGTGAACTTGTGTCTAAGAACGGCTCTCCATATGTCCTGTCACTCACTTGGTTCTGTATTCTCCAAATAAGTCATATGGCCAAGTGTTCCTCAGGGCCCATTTCTACCCAATCGGTCTGGCTTCCTTCCTGCAGGAACCATGCGAAGTTTGCCTTTCTCTGTTCTGTGACACCCCAGATGGCTCACCTGTGTGGGGCTTCCAAACGGTATCAGAGCATTGGTATTACCCTTATAGAGTCTTCTGCAGTTTGGGGGCCCTATGGAATGCTGCATACCTATACCCCACTAAAAATGCCCCGTGTCTTAATCTGTGGTAGCCAGCCAGGGTTACACAATCGTATTCAGTCAGTTTCCTTTTTTCTGAGATTATAGTATGAAGCTCATGCCTCTGTGGTATGTGTATCCTTACTCAGATTCCAAATTAAAAGAAGCTTATTATGCCTAGTGGCAATTATTTTTCCTTATGAATTTGATTTACTTTTTAATTAGACCAAATCTAGTCTAGGTAATGAGGCATTTTCATTTTATGTAGATTGTATACCTTGTTGCATGTATTGTATAGGTAAAACTTCCTGAGGATACTCGTCTCCTCTTAATTAAAACAAAATGACGTGGTCACATTTCCCTGACTGAAAAAGTGATCAAAGCCGCCTTCTTTCTTTTTTTTTTAAATTTTATTATGTTATGTTAGTCACCATACATTACGTCATTAGTTTTTGATATAGTGTTTCCATGATTCATTGTTTGCGTATAACACCCAGTGCTCCACGCAGAACGTGCCCTCTTTAATACCCATCACCAGGCTAACCCATCCCCCCGCCCCCCCTCCCCTCTAGAACCCTCAGTTTGTTTCTCAGAGTCCATCCTCTCTCATGGTTCGTCTCCCCCTCCGATTTCCCACCCTTCATTTTTCCCTTCCTGCTATCTTGTTCTTCTTTTTTTTTTCTTAACATATAATGTATTATTTGTTTCAGAGGTACAGGTCTGTGATTCAACAGTCTTACACAATTCACAGCACTCACCATAGCACATACCTTCCCCAATGTCTATCACCCCCCAATATTTTACTATGAAAAGAATCAAACACACAAAATGCTGAAAGAATTATACAGTGAACACTCTATACCCATTGCCTGGAGTGGTCCTCAGTTTTATCACATACACTTGATTTAAGGTCTAAAGTTGATCAGTGCATCTAATCTTCTTTGATAACAATAAGATCCATAGAAGGCTTTGGTCAATGATTACAAAGCTGTAAAGATTCGCAGCTTAAAAGAACAGAAATAGATTGTGTAACTTCCAAACCCGCGCCAGGGAGGAGTGGAGAGGATATACAAACAATGTGACCAATACAATAGGAGGTGAGCAGGGTGGGTTGTGGAAACAAACCCGTAAGAAGTATGGTACAGGTACAAATAAGAGAAAGACTTCTGAATATTAGGCATCATAGCAAATAAAAGTAAATCTAGCTCTTTTTTTTTTTTTTTTTTTTTTTTTTTTTAGTTAGAGTTTTATTTGAGAGAGAGGGAGAGAAAGTGTGCATGAGCCATGAGTGGTGGGGGGTGGGAGGGTGCAGAGGCAGAGGGAGAAGCAGGCTCTCCACTGAGCAGGGAGCCCGAGGACATGGGGCGCCATCCCAGGACCCTGGGATCATGACCTGAGCTGAAGCTAGACGCTTAACCAACTGAGCCATCCAGGCGCCCCTAAATCCAGCTATTAATAAAGGTTCTCATATTGTCCAGCTCCATACTATTTCTAAAAGACATACCTACATTTTAAAGACAGAGGAAAGTTTAAAGTAAAGGCATATAGAAAATTATGTCCCAGGAAACTAGTTAAAACTGGTGAAGCTGTATTTAATGTCACAGAAAATAGGCTGTAAGACAAAGAAAACCTAAGAAGAAACAGAAAAGGTCATTATAAAGATAGAAAGACTAATTTGCCAGGATGACAAATTATGAACCTATATGCATGTGATATTACTTTAAAATATTTAAAGGAAAGATACAACATAAGGAGAATCTCACATGCAATTTTAGTGGAATAATTTAACATACTTTCCTCAGTGATAAGTAGAACAAGATGAAAATAAAGAAAATATTTTAGCCAAGAGAAAGTAATGAAATAGAAATCACAGAATCAACACAACCCAAAGCTGCTGCTTTGGAAAAATTAATATGTAAACCTCTGGTAAGTTTGATCAAGAAAAAAGCAGAAGTAGAAAAAGGCAAAAAATAAACATTATAGGTAATGAAAATAGGACAACTTCAGATAAAGTTTTTATCTGAAGATTTTAAAAATCAGAATGAATTGAAAGCTTGCGGCCAAAAAAATTGAAAATTGGCGCAAAATGGGTGATGAGGAAATCTGAGTATATCTCTAATCTTGAAAGAAATTGCCTTATCAGTTTACAATACTCCACAAAACAAGTGAAAACTAGGCCCAAGTTATTTTAGAGAGTAGAAGGAAAGAAAATTTAAAAAACCTTCTCACCTTAATTTGGAACTAGCAGAATCAAATACCAAAACTGAATATAGACCATGGAAAACATTTAAACTGAATAGAGATGCCCTCCCCAAAGTTAATAAAACATTGAGTACAACATGACGTGTATTTAGAGGTAACTGCAGGTTACAACTTGAACAATTTATGGCCTGCCTTGTGGGCACTGGGGATAGAGCAATATAAAAACATAAACATTTCTGCCCTTGTGGAACCTACATTGTAGTGCAGAGAGGCAGATAATAAGTAAAATACAACATGAGGAAAGAAAAAGATGAATAATTTCAGGATTAGAAAACTGAAACTGTCACTATTTGCAGGTGATAGGATTATCTGCATATAATCCTCTCAGTCTACAGAGAAACTTCTTAGAGCTACTAAGAGTAAAGTCCCTGGAAAAGAGAGAAATATATAACTGCTTATCACCACCTAGGTCCCAACAATCGTCTTCATACTCACCTACAGGTGTGTGTGTGTGTGTGTGTGTGTGTGTGTGTGTGTGTGTGTGTGTATACATATATATATATACACGCACAATATAATTATAGTTATATATATATATATAATGCTCTTTGAAGAACATAAATGAAGGTCTAGATAAATGGAGTGTTTTGTTATGTTAATATATAATGGAAGGCTGAATGTCACAAAAGCAATTCATATTTGTCTATAAATTCAGTTCAATTCTAATCACAATCCCACATATCAAGTAATGAGAAAAACAAATCTTAAAAGGTATATGTACCTCTTGACCCCCTTGACCTATTTTGCTTACCCCCCAACCCGTCCCTTCTCTGGTAACCAACAGTTTGTTTCCTGCATCTATGAGTCTGTTTGTTTTGTTGTGTGTGTGTATTTGCTTTTTAGATTCCACATATAAGTGAAATCATATGGTATTTGTCTTTCTTTTAGATATAATACCTTCTAGATCCATCCATGTTGCAAATAGCAAGAGTTCATTCTGTTTTTATGGCTGAATAATATTCTATTGTTCATCACATCTTCTTGAACCATTCATCCATCAATGGACACTTGGGTTGCTTCTGTATCTTGGCTGTTGTAAATACTGCAATGAACATAGAGGTGCCTGTATCTCTTTGAATTGATATTTTTGTTTTCTTCCATTGTTGAATTGGAATAGGTGAAGGGGATTAAAGATACACAAACTTTCAGTTACGAAGTAAATAGGCCATA